TTTCTTTTTTTTTTCATCTTAAAGTGGCCAAGTTTGGACAACACTGCAATAATGGAAAGAACAGAGGCAGTTTACTCAGAAAGAACCAAACCACCTAAGTGAATGAATACCACCACTATCCCTTACCTCTGTTATCAATGAATCATTCTCGGAATGGGTTATGCTAGGCTACACTCACTGTTGAGCAGACGAGTGATTCTGCAATTCAGTTTAAGCTATCCTTTGAGTAAAAAAATCCAATAAAAACAATCTTAATTAGATCTGTATGAAATATTACTAGCACACTGCTACCCACTGTAAGGATTATTTCGTAGAGTAACTTCACTGCATCCAGCCCCGTCTTCTGCCCCTAGACCGTTGTATATTGGCAAAAGATGTATATGTCAATAAATTCCACCTACAGTTTTTACAAGGCATTTCATTTTTTAATATAAAAATGACATATGAATCTTAGGAAGCATGCAATATTAAATGCTTCTTCCCCCGCTTTACAGTAGTCAAAACGATTTCAAAAATGAGCACGTTTTGAAGCTAAAATAAAGAATCTGTACATCCATCAAACATAATAGATCTGGACTGCCGTGTGTTTCAGGCTTCTGTAAAGATGGGTCAAGAATTCAAGGAGGGATTTTCTAGGATGCAGATTATTTAACACTGCCTAGGAAGCATTACTGTTGCAGTCTCTTCATGGATCTTCTTCTTCTTTTCTGTACATAGCAATTCAAACTGGTTGGAAGCAATCCAGTTCTGCAAATCTTCAGAATTAATTCATGGTCCTCTTCTGCTCATCCTCACTGGATCTCTCCCATATACAGTCTTTTGTCGCTAGATGCAGAAAGTACTGATGGAAAGGAATACAAACTTGGTTAGAGGCAAGTGCAAGGTTCTGTTTTAATCATTCTGTACTCATTTTTTCTCACCTCAAATATCTGGGTTTAAGGTATTTCCTTAAGTATCTGTAGCATAAGCATCTAGGCAAACCTAACAGAGCAATGAACGAGGGGGACAGCAGGGAAGTTGGGCTCCTTCAGGGTATGTTAGCTGACTATTAAAAAGGATGATTTCACAAATCAGCATATATTTTCAAGTTTGCTGGCTGTGCATAGAAAGGACTTACCTATTGGTTCTTCTGGGTGAAAGGCCACTTCATTTATTGAACCAGCATGGCCTGGCAGTTTGTACAGGATCCTTCTGGAGGTTGTATCCCACACATAAACAAACCTGTGTGTGATGACAAACAGAAATAAAAGCCCCCCCGCACATAAGAGATCAATTCCCTTTTAACTGAATCTCAAAGAATATATAACACAGAAGCTGCTGCATACATACTGTAGAGAAATGTTGTTTTATCCACATTAAACACCAGAATAGAATTCTTTAAAAAATGTTTAGATTTGCATTTTAGTATTAATTTGTCATGTTAGTAGAAAGTTAAATAGTTTCCAATATGACCCTAATCTGCCAACTTCAGAAGCTGACTTCAGGCCAGTGAATTGCAGCTATTTTAACACAATCTTGTATAACTGGAGTTGGAATCAATGAATCTGAACATACTGCTGCAAGACTGTCACAGGTATATGGGTTGCTGTGCATTTTATATCCTGCAGATCAAAACACAATTGTGTGTATTATAATTAAAAGGAAGGTTGCTGTGTAACTTTTTATAGATAAGCAACGGAATCCTTTCAAGTAAGAGCAGCCCATACAAATTCACTAACAAAACATATCAGTAATTTTTTTCTAGTATGATGTGCTACTTCAGCAATTGCACTACCGTGTAAGTTACAAAAAAAATCTGTTATAGGGTACAAATCAGGCAATGTGCCAAGTGCAGCACTGCAACAAATGAATGGGGCAGAGCCAGGATAAAACCTGAAATGTGAGTTTACTTAATGAAATCCATATGATTATTCACCACCTATCTCAGTTGTTTCCCCTTCTGTCACATTAAACTTTACAGTTTGGTAGGGAGGGGCTCAAGAGGCTACATGCAAGGACTTGTCAGGGCCACATGTGGCCCCATATCTGAAGATTGAGTTCATCATGACTAGTAGGAGATTCTGCAATTAAGTGCCCTTTTTATTGATTCATTAATGCAGAAAAAATGAGAT